AGGGGCGGGGCGGCGGTGGCGGCGGTCGGTCTCGGTCTCGGTCTCGATGGGGCCTTGTGGGCAGCGCAGTGGTGTTTCCGCGAGGAGAATTTGGGGGTTTTTTATTTTTTTATTTTTCATTTTTTCGTTATGTTAACGGATTAGAGCTGCCCTCCCCGGGGTGCCTTTTCCTTTTTCTTGTTCGCCCTCAGGATGCGGCGAGGTCGGTAAACCGCTGGTGCGCGGTCCTCGAAATAGCCATGGCTAGAGCGCACCTGAAGCAGATGAGTGCATGAGTTCCTTGGAGCTGCGATGTGCCCTGTGTTTGAGAGGTGGCTTGTAGGCTGTCATCTTGCACTGCCGGTTTTCTCCGTGAGGTTAATAAGCAAGATGAGTGGCGGCTTACACAATCGAGTTTGAGTTTCTCCGTTAGACTCTGTTACAACCGCAATCTGTTGTCTCTTGCCTAGTATTAGTTGTGAACCTATTGTTTTTACTTCTAGTTTTCTCTTGTAAAAAATAAACTTTTGTTTCAAAGCTAGCGTTGTCACACTGCATTTTGAGTTAAGTTGGCCGCTTTGCTGCCTCTGCTTTCCCTTCCAGACTGGGCTGTCAAAGCGCTGGAAAGAAATGTTCCCTCAATCCTGCGGATGGCTAAAGGGATGGATCTGCAAATACAGAGAAGGCTTTGCAGCAAGCCCCGGGAAGAGAGTCAGCCTCAGCCACGGAGTAAGAGCTTTTGATAAGAGATCATGCTGTATTTGTAGAGGAGTGCTTGAGCAGTTCAGTGTTTCTGAAACATTGTATCTTTTATCTCAGAGAAAGTGCTGGTGGTTTGAAAGGCCAAGACCAATGATGAAAACGTCATGAAATGCTTAGATATCCAGGCTGTAATCATCTGAATGGGAATTTGGCTGAGATGTATGTTATTATGCCTGCTGTTGTGAGAAGGAATTTAATCTTTTGGTTAGACTGAAAAACTGAACATTAAAACTAGCAATAAGATTTTTATTTTCAGTGAAGCCTATAGTAAAATTTTCTTCTTGTGACAATAACACAGATTATGCTTTCTAGCAGGTCATTCGATCTTGTCTAATGTGCAGTCCTACATTGAGGCTCTTCAGCTGCACTCTAGGCTTACACAATCGAGTTTGAGTTTCTCCGTTAGACTCTGTTACAACCGCAATCTGTTGTCTCTTGCCTAGTATTAGTTGTGAACCTATTGTTTTTACTTCTAGTTTTCTCTTGTAAAAAATAAACTTTTGTTTCAAAGCTAGCGTTGTCACACTGCATTTTGAGTTAAGTTGGCCGCTTTGCTGCCTCTGCTTTCCCTTCCAGACTGGGCTGTCAAAGCGCTGGAAAGAAATGTTCCCTCAATCCTGCGGATGGCTAAAGGGATGGATCTGCAAATACAGAGAAGGCTTTGCAGCAAGCCCCGGGAAGAGAGTCAGCCTCAGCCACGGAGTAAGAGCTTTTGATAAGAGATCATGCTGTATTTGTAGAGGAGTGCTTGAGCAGTTCAGTGTTTCTGAAACATTGTATCTTTTATCTCAGAGAAAGTGCTGGTGGTTTGAAAGGCCAAGACCAATGATGAAAACGTCATGAAATGCTTAGATATCCAGGCTGTAATCATCTGAATGGGAATTTGGCTGAGATGTATGTTATTATGCCTGCTGTTGTGAGAAGGAATTTAATCTTTTGGTTAGACTGAAAAACTGAACATTAAAACTAGCAATAAGATTTTTATTTTCAGTGAAGCCTATAGTAAAATTTTCTTCTTGTGACAATAACACAGATTATGCTTTCTAGCAGGTCATTCGATCTTGTCTAATGTGCAGTCCTACATTGAGGCTCTTCAGCTGCACTCTAGAACCAGCTATTCCACCCCTACATAAAATACTGATGTCTAGGAACATAATACTATCTAAAGTACTTCTGCAGTTTTTCACACTAGAACCAGCTCCAGCTATATCGAAAACTGATTATGCCCTGCAGAAGACAGTCTGAATCATTGGCTTAGTTGATATTTAAGGGAAGGTCAGATACAGTTCAGTTCATGAAACGTTTTGGTTGCTCTAGATGGGACAGCTATGATGCTCTAATCAGAATTCCTGTATAACAGGTTACCTTCTTACCCGTCGATGCTAGATAAAAGGAGCATACAGGTTTGAAGCATTTTACATACAACTGTGTTAAAAACATAGTACATCTGTACTTGGTAAGTCTAAAGGTCTCTTTAACAGTGTCGTGTCTCCAGGAATGGACAGTAAAGGAAAGAAAGCCCTTAGGTTTTTGCAGAGACCATCTGGAACGGTGGCCAACAGCAAGTATCTAAGGAAAAGCACAGAAACAGGGCAAATTGTTTAGTGTTTCTTTCCTAGACTGCTGTCCCAGCCACCAGTGAAGTTCTAGTCCTCAGCAGAGGTGGCACCTTTGTGTTTAATGGCCCTCCACTGGGTTTTTCTGTTGTAAATTTTCCCAGTTTCCTGAAGCTGTGTGTGTTTTTAGCATACAAGTCCTGTGAAAAGGAGTTCCTCAGCTGAACTGTGCTATGAGAAAACAAGTAGAGTCTTATGTTTGGTTTTGAACTTGGTATTTGTTATCTTCAGTCTGATATTCCTTTATTCAATACCCTTATAACACAGGAGCTGTTTATTGTAGTCCACCCTCTCCATGCTGCTTAACGACTCGGCAGCCCTCTATTGTGCTGAAGGAGGCTTCAATTACTGCTTTTCTCCACTGAAGACTTTTAGTCTGTTAAGTGTTTCTTATATAGAAGCCATTCCATACCTGTGATCATCCTTGTCAACTTTCTCTGTACCTGTTCTAGTTCCAATATAACGATTTTTGAGATGAAGGTTCAGTATTTCATGTGCTCTTCAAAATGCTGGTGACATGGTTTTATACAATGGCACAATGATGCTTTTGTGTTGGTCTGTGCTCATTTCCTAATAATTGCTAATATGCCATTTGCCTTTTTGGCACTGAACGTTTTGTTGAAATGCTCTGCGAACCCCCAAGGACTAATTCCCCAGCAATAATGGCTAGTTTAGAGGCTGTCTTTTTGCATGTAAACTGGAATTGCTTTTCTTATATGTACTGCTTTATATTTATATGCATGGGATTTCACTGCCTCAGTTGTTGACTCAGAATTAAGAAGCAGCGCTTCCCATTCAGCCCTCTTCTCTGTTTCTGAATAACTTAACTGCTGTAAGCAAATTATCTGTCCACCCCATTTCCCAGATCATGTATTAATCCACTAAACAGCACAGATCTATGCAGGATGCATCCGATTGTTTAAAAAAAATAAAGCCAAACCTGTTGACATTTGCACTGTTTACTATATTTTAACAGTACGTTATGTATGGAAACCTTCCACTTTTATATTTTGTATATGGAGGTTGAAAGATGGAGGTGAAAGTTAAGGGTTTAATCTTTGTCTACTGGCATCTGGTTGCTTGTACCTCCAGATGAGAGAAAAATCTTACACTCCACGATAAACTTAAATTCTGTGATGTTCTGGTGCAGCATATTGGATTTTTTTTTTTTTTCAGCAGTTCCATTTTGGTATTTTAAACTAATAGTAAAATCACAGCATTTTAGGAAGCTTATTTATTGGAGCAGGTTCTGTAGATTTATTATTGCAAATATACAGGCCTTGGGTAAGATTTAGCTTCTGTTACATGGCCTCAGTTTACTACATGCTCGCTGGTTCTCAAAACTGATTATGCAATACTCTTTTCTTGTTCCCTAACCAACTTTAGCAGTCATACTTTAAAATGTGCATCGCTCAGCCAAACTGGTTTAATTATAGTTATGGCAATTCAGCTTCTCTGTGTGTTGTTATTTGTTTGTAATAGGTCGATCTACTTTAAGGGTACCTGGACACAAGCCTACAGACTGGGAGAAAAGGTTTTTGTTGTGGGCAGGCCATGTCAAAAAAGCAGAGGATATACCAGAGACTGTCTCGTAAGTGCCAGTTTTGAAGCTGTAAAGGAGACTGTCTACCCAGGAATGAGTTATTTGAATGCAACTCCAGAATAGCTTTTCTTAAAGGGGAATGGGTTTTCACAGCTGAAAACTACACAGACCTGAGGAAACTTCTGATTTTGCCTCAGGGTTTTAAAATCTTATGCTATTGTGATTGCTGTACCATCCTGTAGATAAGGGAACCTGGGCAGTTCTTTATTGTGGAGATATATTCCTTTTGATTTTTTTTTTTCTGAAGGGAAGACTGACATCTAGCAGTTGTTTTAGTAGAAAAACATCACAAATCAATTATTTTCTATTCTGCTTCCAATCAGAAAAGCTTTAGACAAACATTAAAGTAAGCTTTTTCTAGTGTTTTTCTTACTATGTCAAAGTCTACTGTTTTATGGAACTTTCATGACATAATTAAAGAATTAACTGAAACAGTATCATTTGAAATACTTATTAATGAATGTCCAGAGGGCTGGAGGTTCCTAATAAATAGTAGAAAAGCTCCCTAATGGAAAATAAAACATTGTCAAAACTTTCCTGTTGCTGGCAGAGTCCTAATATCAGTGCTTTGCTTTGTGCAGGGTGTGGGAAATAAAACTGGCCGTTCTAGTCTGGCTGTCTACATATTCTAAAATCAAGATCAATCTTAACATGCACACATGCATGCATACACACATACATATGCACGGCAAGTATTGGTTTTAAAAACATTCCTGGTGGTAGGATAGTTATCTTTTAAATTATAATATTTTTGAGTGTGTGTGTGTGTGTGTGTATATATGTATATATATATATAAAACAAAAAAAACCACACAGAGTCAACCTTATGCTACTAAGGTAAACAAATTATATAGCTGCCCTCTAAAGATACTTTATTTGTCTGGATGCATCATGTGGGAATTGAAGATCCACCTGTACACCTTATGTTTTTCTAAAATGTATCATAATGGATTAAAGATTATTTTTAAAAAATTACTCAATTTTGCAATAAATCACTTGTTTTAATTGCATTTGAAATACATAAAGGCTTAAATAATTAAAACCTATTAAAACTATGTCAGTCTGTATATTTTTGCATGCAAGATGTTTTGAAGAGTTATCAGACCGAGGGAAGTTATTGGCTGTGCATATAAAATCAAGATTCATTGGAAAGATAAACCAGCTTCTGATAAAAGCTGATTGTTTTTCAAAGCGTAGAGAGAATTTTCCTCCCCCTTCCCCCTGTCTTTTTTTAAGCAATTAGTTCAGCCAAAGTTGAGACGCTGATTGAGAATTATAAAAGCACGAAAGCTTGTTTTCCTATTCTAAATGGAGTAAGAATGGGGTATAAGGGGATGCAATGTAACTCAGTTATCTCAAAAGTTGTGGTAATCAGAAGTGACTCATTTATTGAGCAAAATAAATGTTTATTTTAGCCACTGAATTGAATTAAATTAAAATGCAAATAGTGTTCAGATAACTGCCTCTTTATCGTGTATATTCTAACAAGGTACTCAAACTAATAAAATTTTCTAAATGCTACCTCTGTGTATTTCAGCTTAATTTGAGTCTGCACCCACGTTGTTTGTCACAGATTATTAGCAAAAACAAATAACCTGGAAACTAAATTCAACTGCTAGTTCTGTGTTGGATTAAAGTATTCTCTATGATCAGAAATCTTATCCTCGCATCAATGCTCTGAAACCATGATCAAATCACCTCTTGCTCCTCCCTTCAAAAACGAGAGTATAATTTTTCCAGTGCTCAGGTCCTATGTGATTTTTACGACCTTGAACCACTGTAAAGCCTTCAGTATCCTTTCCCTCCCCCCTGCCCCAAGTACCAGGGTCAAAATGGGATAGAAGATTCCATAGTCACTGGTGTTTGTATATGGTGGTAGTCTCTCAGTTCTGTTAAATCTACTAGCCATGTTAGCTTTGACATATAATTACCTAGTTCAGTGCATTTATCCTTTCTTCATATGATGCTGCTGTTTTTCCAGTCATCTGTTATTTCTAGTATGCAAAGTTTAATCAGGGAGAATATTAGTTTTCCTTGAGAAGGGAATCACTGCTCCAAATTCTGCAAGGAGCATTAAATATACAGAATGTAGCTCTCTGGTTGTTGGAGAAAGCATTTGAAAACGCTGTACTTCATTGGCCCTTCTTGCACTGGTATCCCTAATACCAGCTGTAAATTTGCTGTAACTGCAATGTAATTTGGGTAGAATGATCTTCAGCATTTAACCCAACCTAAATGACTTGTTGATACTTTTAGCTCCTCTCATATTCAGCTGGAAGGCTTTAATGACTGATACTAAGGAGGGATAATAACTGCTGCTGTTGATGGAAAATGCATGTTTTTAAAATATGTTAAAATGTACTGCAGTTCAAATATGGGTGGGGTACTTATTTTCACAGATGTCAGAAGGTGGAGGTGAGCACAGACGGGCGTGAGTAGTAAGAAAAATACCATATAAGCAAGAGCATCCTTCTCTTTGCCGTCCTCCCCCAGTGAACATAAAATAAATATTAAAACTAATTTGACTGCAAGGCAAAGGAAGAAGGCTCTAGAATTTCAGTGGTCTAGAAAAGTAATATTCTCTGACAAATAAACTGAAAGTTAAAAAAGTTTGATATGTTTCCAGCTTTAACATCTTTTATGATTTTGATTAAGTATCTCCCAAGGAAGATGGGGATCAGGCTTTTCCATTCTTGTAAAGCCTTTTTTAATTTTTAGTGAAAAGAGCCAAGGACTGTTATTACACAAGATTATATAGATGGCATGCCAGGAGAGATCAAACAACTAGCCAACAGTTTATTTAGGTCTTTGATAATGAGTTTGTTTTTTTTTTTTTTCTTTTTTTCCTTGAGGATTGAAACAATCAGAGCAGCAAAGACCACACTGCGTGTGAAGTTCAGCTATGTAATGATTGCATTGACAGTAGTGGGCTGCGTAATCATGGTGATTAGAGGGAAGCAGGTAAGTACAGAATTTGGGCTTGTGAGCGGAAATGGAAATTCACAAACTCCTATGTTCCTCCTTTGGATTAGTAGTTAGTCTTGGTGGGTTTTTCCATTATATCACTGAGCAAAAATTAAAATGAGTCCTTCTAGTCTCTCAGAAACGACCCTCACCGATTAATTCCCAAGTCTTAAAAGGGTGATAATGCTCTTAGACTGCATATGCTTCCTTCAAAAGGAAAAAAAAATAGCCCTTTCTGTCATATGGTACTTAATTTTATCTTGCACAGTTTTAATTAATTTTGCTGAAAGGCTTCCAGAGTTTGAACAGAAAGAGACCCTCCTGTTCTGTGTATCCGGTAGGCAGTAAACGTTCTTTGGGCCAAATGAGATCCATACAATTCATTGTATGGACCTATTACAAATGCTTCTCTATGCACATACTGCAACATTCATAGAATTCATATAATGGAAGTAGCAAATGGGCATGTTTCTCCACATGCAGACTGTGAATTCTCAGGCTTTTTAAGCCATGGGGAGACAGTCCATAATAATTCTGTGCCCTTTAATTGCATTAGAAAATACTGTCTTCCTGTAGTTTTGATGGAGCAACTTTTCCCAAACTGCTATTGTTCATTAAATCAAAAAGCAGTGTACTTTATGGAAAAACTCCAAGTCCTATAGATGCTGAGCAGTCTTCGCTTGCATAGAATTTGGCATGAAATGCAAGAAGTTCAGCATGTGGTAGGACTAGGCCTATGGTTTCATGTGCATTGTATTAAGTGAGTAAGTGTAAAGTCTGAGGTTCCAACTGCAGCAAAGGTTAGTCATGCTTTAATTTTACATGTTTTTTTAACAGAGTTGGTAAAAGATTAACTTCCTAGTATTTCTGTAAAGAAATTAGGAATGCTTTTTTTGTGTACTGAAGCCAAGCTGAAAGCGCTCAGCAGCTTTAATCTCAGTCAAGGAACGTGAAAATAATTTGTGCAGCTTATTGTCATGTTGCTTTTGAAAAATGTATGCGGATAACAGAAACAGTGCTTTTAAGGATGACTGGAAGCAGAAAACCCTAGCTTAAAGCAGGGCAGAACCTTACTCGTATGCTGCCTTTCCCTCAAGGTACTCCTCTGATTACAATGTTCAGATCTTGTTTTTATAGACTGCGTGCTAGAGAAATTATACTAAAACTTGTTACTGAGACCCATTCCCAGCATTGTAAACTATTGAAGTGTGAAATTTCTATTTGTCAGCATTCCCTTTATCAAAGTGAAAAGGATGCAGCACTCTGAAACAAAATGGTTGACAGCTTTTTCCCTGGCTTTAGCGGAGAGATCAAGCACTGACACTTCCCAGCATATTTTCTTCTTATGTTTGAGTGGTATGAAAGGAAACAGTGGAAAGAGAGATTAGAAGCACAGCTGCTTTGGGACCTTTGCTTTCACAGCAGCTGGAATCTATTATATATAATTTTTTATTTGTTTCTAGTACCTCTTGACTTCTGAAGACCAGAGATCATCACTAAATACTCACCAGAAACACAGAATACATCTGCTATTGCCATTAACAGAAAGGCTTACTTTATTCCCAGAGACGTAGCAAGTTTAAGCCAAAAATAATTTCTGGATGTTTTATTTTAACCCTTTCTCTTCCTGGCATTAAAGTTGAGAGACCTGTGCGTTCGTAAGCGTAGGGCAGATATTTTGTAAAATACTGATTTAAGTTTCAACTCTGTTGTCCTTTAGATAACACTTTCTGCTCTTCCTTTGTCATTGTGTTGTAGGCTGTGAAAAGGCATGAATCTCTTACAAGCATAAACTTGGAGAAGAAAGCTCAATGGAGAGAGGAAGCTGCTCAGAGTACATCTGCTAAACCCTAGAAGAGGAGAAAAGAAAGAGACCAAGGACTGGGGAAGAAACAATGTCCTTTACAGCACTGGGAGGAGGATATAGTTGTATGTTCCCTGTATGTTAGTTCTGTACTTGCATTCAAGAAAGAATGAATACATTATCTTGTAACCATTAAAAACTGAAACATCTGTTTTCTTCCTGACAGCCTCCCACTTCCTCCAAATCCTCTTCCTCAAGGTTAGAGGAACAGGACAAGTAAAGAAACTGGATAGGCAGAATAGTTGTTTCTCCCATGTGCTATGCACAAGACTAGGTATCTTTTAAAAGACTTCTGGAGCCATACCTGTACTCTTGGTATCAGTCTCCTTCACCAAGTCTTATGCTCTTACTTACCACTTACATTAACTGGAACACCAAAGGAACAGTGCCTTTGGTTTCCACTCATACATCCATACTTGTACAAGTGAAAAAACTTTCACTGGACAGTCATCTGCTATCGCTATCTTGTAACCTGGGTACTTGACTTCTCTGGGTCCCTTCAGAAAGAAAGAGACTGTATGCATTCTGTATTATTACAGCCTGCCTGAAATATTCCATATGTTCCTCTTTGAGTAAGAGAGGACAAGTATTAGGGTAGACCTTGTGTCAGGAATAATTGTATGGCCTGCATTAATTATCATCAGAACGAGCAGAAGTCATTAGGAAATCTACTTGCTTGTTTTGGGTCCAATATATTCTAGCTACGTTTAAGTGAAAGATTACTTTTTGCAAAGAACTGCTGCCTTTGATAAAAAGAGGAGAGTGATAGTGAAGTGGTATTCCACAGAATCCATGTGTTGCAAGTGACGGCCTCTCAGTTTTTACACCAGAGTCAATAGCGAGAAAAAAATCCAAGCTAAGGGAATAGAGATTATTTGAAGGAATACTGAGCAACAGCTCGGATTTGCTGTTCAGAGGCACATGAGTGTTTGAGAAAGTGATTCAGGCATTTCCCGTTTCTGCTACTGAGCTTTTTTTTTTTCTAAAATTCATTTACATTTATTCCTTTCAAGTCCCCTTCTATGCTTTCATGACATTAGCCCGCTTAAGAGAAGGATCATTTATTTCACCCTGTGCCTCAAGTTTTAGAAACAGCAGAGCCAAGGACACCCATAGACAACTACTCCCAACAGTCCTATTTCTGGCATTCATCCCAGAATAGTCACATACAGTTCATGCTGAACCCGCTTTCAACTGGAAACTAGCGGTTTTCCTCTTCCCTTCAGCTCACTTAGAAGGAACTGTAAATTGGGACTGTCAGGACTGTTCCAAAGCACGTAATTCCCTCGAACTGCCTGCTAACTGGTCACTAGATACTCTAGAAACAAGAGACAGGTATGTTTGAACAGATGCAGTTTCTGGACTTTCCAAATAGTGGGAGACAAATCTTTTTTGAACCATTAGTACTACGAAAAGTTAGCAATATTTCTTAAGGAGATAAAAGCCCTACAATAATGCATGGTATAACTTGCTTATCTTTGTAACTGGAAAAGAAAAGCAATGAGATATCCAGCACAGTCTTCTCTAGTACCTTGTCCTTTCCTCAGCAGTTATAGAAAATAACTGCTACAGTCCATCTTTTTTATTGATTACAGTCCTGGGTACCACTCATATTGATGAGATGTAACCACTCAACCAACCCGTGCAGTCATTCCACCACAGAAGTTAGTAACCTTCAGATGTCTCCAAGACCTGTTATCAGATTCTCCCTAAGGTCCCCGTTGTAAGAATGCTGTCACTCAAATCAAATAGGGTCCCACACACTTGTCCATTCAGTTAGCACTGAGTGCAAGTTGTGCTTAATTCCATTGCGAATAAGTGAACAGATCTTTCCTGACAGCTCACATCAATAAACCCAGATGTGGGAATCAAAAAAATCTTCCCAGAGCGTGCGCATGTGTGTGTGTATGCTTTAAACAAGACCAAAAAGGAGAACGTGAACTGTAGACAGTATTTCAGGTTACCATGAAGAGAAACTTGTACATGATTTAATTTATGCTCGCTGATGGCAGAGCTTAAAACCATGCATCTCTCAAAAGCATTCCCCTTTCAATAAGCACCTGAGTGCACTCTGAACAGAACTGCCATGTACCTCATCTAGTTATCGATATAAAACTGTTTGGACTCATCCAGGTAGTAAAGCATTTTAAATAAAAATGTTTATCGCTTAGAAAGCAACAGCTCAGAGCAGCATCAGTCACCAGTTTTTCATTTTACTTACATATCTAAACACTTTATACCCTGTTTACCCAAAAATTGAACTCCAGGGTCCAGTGGTTTTATAGAAGCTCCATGTAGTCATATATCCTTTCCTTCTATCACTCTGATATCCTGACCATTTCAGGATCTACCATAAAACCCATGCATTACTGCACATACTTGCCTCTTCTTTTAGTTTCCACATTTGCTCCAGTCTCTCTCATAAAAGCCCGAGCCATTGGGCTGCGTGCAGTCTCCAGCTCTCTCTTCACCATTGCAGTATCTTCTTTGAAACTATTTGGGTACTTGAAAAATGAAGTAAATCTTTCTCAGAAGGACAATGAAAGAAATCACCTCGTTCCTAGCCTGATGGCTCCCAAGAAAACACGTGGCAACGGTTAAAAAACACACAGGTTTCTGGCCTAAGCAGACAGTCCAGTGGACTGGAAAACTTCTTAATGCACTTTGCATCACCTAATTGGCTCCTGGCTTCAGCCTGCACCATCTTAATACTGACGGATGAAGAGGAACATACCAAGCCCTTAGAACAGTACTTCACTTCCTTTCTCCCCTTTGCCAGGTCCACAGCACTATTCAGTTATATTTATTCTCAAAAGTAAAATTATTAACCTACATCATATGCCTTACTGTTATATCTGTTCCAGAGGCAACAAATACCTCCAAATGCAACGATAAAACCGACAACCTGAACCACACTGCCTCAGTAGAGCACGTGCGAGCCCTATGGACATAGCCATAGCAATACGCAGAGAGGTCCCGTTTATTTTCCTATTAGGACTCAGGCATTTGAAGGAAGATCTTAGTATCTCACGGCTAAAACTGGCATGGGAGGGTATTAATGATGTGTTGTGCCAATCCCAAAAGCAAGTAAACTTCACTGGCAGACATGGGAAATTACTTAAAAGCTGGCACAGAGATGCACGCTTCCCAGAGGTAAGAGAGCTGTTCTGAAAATCCTCAGGGAAGCACAGAGGTGCATCACCAGCACCATCACATTTAGGACTGGCAGTCAACAGTCTTGGTACTGATAGTTAACAGAAAAGCAGGTTCAAGAGCGCTTAACATTTTCTTGAGGCAACAAATCCCTCTCCTCCCTTAAGATTATGGAAGGGACTTCAAGCAGCTATGTTTGGTTGGGATCAAGGAACCAACACAGAATTTAGGCTGAACACAGGCGGAAGTTCCTAGGCAGCTGCTGCCTCAAATGATTCTGTTTGTGTGGGTAGCGTCTTCCCAGGAGCCCCAAACACTGGTCCTGGCATAGTGACTAAGCTTTCAGTAATCTTCTGCCCCATCATCTCTTGCAACCTCCTGAACCCGAGAGTGCCACTGCCTGCCACGTTCCACTGGGAGCTTTACCAACAAAAGGAATCACAGTTCCTGGTTGCTGCTCCAACAAATACACAACACTTGAAAGGCACCACAGGTCTGTGGACAGGACTGCTAGATAACAACACCAAGCAGCCCTGCATCTTTTGTTAAAACCTGAGTTTAATAACTCCAGCTCATTACTGATGCTGCAAGAACAACTCAGAAATTCTTTGTTCTCATGAATTTTTTTCACCTTACCAGTTTGTGGCGCTTTTGGAAGGTGCTCAGATAGGATTTCCAAAAGAAATGCATTAACTTCAATTTCCAAAATAAGGTAAGCAGAAAATACGTGCCATCACTTCTCTGGAACTACACACTGCATGGCAGAGTTGAGAAAAGAACTCAAGAACCCTAGCAGCTCCCTGCCCTGCCCTCTAAGCATTAGACTATGCTACTTCCCACTTGCATACAAAACAAGAATAGTTCATTTAAAATACAGCATGACCTTCATGAAAGCATTCCCTGAGTTAATTCCTGTTTGAACAGCAGTGTGCCCTTTAGGAAAGCAGATAATACTGGTTTTAACGTTTCTACCACAAGCGTTACTCCACCGTGTTAGAATAACACTTGCTATTCTACTGCCAGTCTAACCAATGAGTTACTCTTAAGGGTAGAGTACCTTATTTCTCATCTGAATAGAACTTATCTTCCAACCTTTTAATAATTGTTGCTGTTCCCAGTTTTTTAGCCTGCTGATACCAACCTCAAATCTTTTTCAGAGGTACTTTCCTCTAAAACAGAGACCTTTATCTGTGGCCTGAAAGTTTTTATTAGATGAGTAACCTAGCAATATACATTTAGCTCTGTTAAAATGCAAGTAGTTAGCTTGCCCTTGGTTTACCAAATAATTCTGATCAGTCTGTATCACTGAGCTGTTCCTTTGACTAGTCACAAGTCTTATCTTCCTCCTATATTCATTTAACTTGTAACCTTTGTTAGAAGTGAATTTTGTTTCTTTTCAAGTTATTAATAATTTTAAGTAAAACAAGGACAAGAAATGGTTGCTGGAAGATCCTGATGGAAATACATTCAAGGAAGACCATTTAAAATTAAACTGAGACCTATGAGTTAGCCACATTTTTAATCCATTTAATGTGTGCCATGTTAATTTTTGTATTGTTTTAGTTTTCAGTCAAAATGTTATGCAGTACCAGTCAAATGCCTTACACAGTCTAAGTATATATGACAACAACATTGTTACCTGTGTCTACCAAGCCTGTCACTTCAAACAAACATACCGAGTTTAAATATTTATACTTATCTGCTCTGAATTCACATATCCACTGCAAAAGTAACAAACACGGGCCAGGCTCCTTACACAGGAAGGCACACCATTCAGCTTAAATGGACTCTTTTTTAATTCGCTCATTTAGAGGCAATTGTCATTATTTTCTGGGGGGGGGGGCAGGGGGGGAAACGCCAATGCACCACATTGTTTTCACTAGCCTGGAAGAGAAAACACTTATATATATATATATATAGATATATAGATATATAGATATGTATATAAATACACACATGTGCATGTGCGTATATATATACGCGTGTGTGTGTATATATATGTATATATAC